CATGAATGGTGAGAATCTTATCTCTAATATTTGATGTATGGCCATCTTCATTCATTACCTAAAACACATTAATACATTAAAGTTTAAAAGATGGTTTTTATTGCTGGATTTTCAACAGATATCTTGCTTTGATGTAAGCAGGGTCAAGATGGCACAGGAAACTGTGTTGGAGATTAGCTCACCCTTCTAGAAATCTTCATTTTCTTGACACATCCTTTGWAAACTTCTTCTAGAGTAAGATAAAGTTCTCTTTCAATSGGTGGGTCTTGCTTTCTTCTTCCCCTGCCATGAATACCGCCAAACCCAATATCAGGGTCRTATGAATCAAACAGCTCTGCAAATGGGTTATCACCACCAAAGAACTCCTTGAAAACTCTGTTTGCATCGCCATGGAAAGTGTAACCTGGAGTCCAGCCATCTAGAGGATTGATAAAATAATGTTGATAAGTTGGGTGGTTTAAAATGGATGATGATTACGATAGATTATGTACCTTTATCAGGAACTCCTCCTTTGAGCCCTTCTTCACCAAACTGATTATAGACTGCTCTTGTCTTTGCTAGGATTAAAAACATTAGTTCAGAGGTCATGTAACTTTTATTTGTAAGCTTAAATCGACGATGCAAATCATGAGTTGTCGAAATAACCAAAACACTTACGATCACTGAGTACGTCGTATGCTTCAGCAACATGCTTGAACTTCACTTCAGATCCAACATCTTGGTTCTTGTCTGGATGGTATTTGAGCGACAGTTTTCGAAATCTGCATCGAATCACAGACACCAAATCAGAACACACATTCTTGTGAATCAGATGTTTTTTCGAGAACAGTTCTGATCATCGACGCAAAGTTTTCACARTTGAYATTTCAATGGTCTACTTACGCTTTTTTGATGTCTGCATCCGAAGCGCTCTTTGTAATACCCAGTATTTCGTAGTAATCTTGTCCCATTTTGAAAATTTCTCTTAGTTTTACGATGTTTTGCTCAAAATGGTCGTCTTTGCTTGGTTCGGTTGCCTTAGTAACACCTCAGCTGAAAGGACTGGGAACTAAAGTAGCCGCATTAGTAAATATCACGGGCTCAAAAACAAGACCATGTGGTGTTCATGTACTTTTTGTGAAATTSACAAAAGTAATTGATTTTTGGTGTAAATTATGTTATTTARCACAATKCTAGTCTTRCAGACATGCTAAGTAGCGTGTCAAGAAAGCGCAACAATGGAATCGACAGCTGATTTTGAGTTCAGCTTCACATCRTCGCTAGAATCACTCGCACAATGTTGCAGCGAAGTGTTGAGCAAAAGACTTTCTCATTTTGTCAAACTCAAGGTAATYTTACKTGATAACATGAATAATTTAGTCATATTTGTATTCKCTATTGATATATTTAGATGTTTGKAAAATTGCGCTTTTGGTTAGTCGTGAAATRATGGATATTGATGATTACAAAAGCACGATGGTTGTGATGATGATGATGAATTATGATGGTAAAGTTGTCAATCCTTATTGATGTATATAAATTCTATGAAAGAGTCGTTTCACTTCACCCATAAAATAATTAGATTATTAGTAACAGACCTCTGTTTGTTTTCCATTGTTTTGATCAGAGAATTTACACACCAACAACAACGACAACAACAACCAACAACAACGACTCTGTCACAAGTAAGATTTACATATGCTTTTTCTTTGTATGTAGACATGGCAAACTCAAGATAAACAAGCTCTTCTMCAAGTGCTGTCAGAGTTCATCCTTGAAGAAGAATCAGCGTTATTAATCACCAAGTTTTTCAGGCCTATAACTGTAGAAATCTTACAAAGATACTTTCATTTTATACAAGGAAAGGATGAACATCTAAGAGAAGAATATAATGAAAACTTTTTCTATATTATTAGTATATTATTACCAATTGTACCCCATATACAGAGCTTTATATTGGAATATTTAACTTTTATTAAACCATTTTATGCCCGATTGGAGAGTAACTTGCAAGATAATCCTAAAGTCCTTACCATTACAAGAACAGCATATAATTTCTTGCGTCATGATTATAATACATTTATTGATGTATGGGAATGGAATGTGTTCTTCCAACTGCTTGAACATGCTGACATAAATGTAAGGTGGCTGGCTACCAATATTGTTGCTATGGTAACACAAATGAGTGACCATAACAAGATGACAATGATAAAGAACTCATTTACCGTTGACGAAATAAATAAACTTACTGTTGAAATGGATGCAGATCATTCAAGATATCAGTCTTCGGTACATAATGATGAGAACTGTAATAAACTGGCTGTAGATGTTACTATGGAAACCATTACAGCWCAATGCAATGTTACCTTCACTGAGGATGATTTTACTGAGAGCCATGTTGCAATATCAGGCGTAATTCTTCCTATTGCKCCTAATTGTCCTAATGAAGTGTTGGTAGACACTCTTGTAAAGGTTCCATCAACAAAGAGGAACCTTCATTCATTGGCTCTTGCTATAGCAACAGGTTCTGGGGTGTTGTTGGAAGGACCAGTWGGTTCTGGAAAGACCTGTCTTGTTGAGTATATAGCCGCAATGACAGGAAGGATATCTGCACCATCATTGAYGAAGGTTCAACTTGGGGATCAGACAGACAGCAAGGTATACGATTCTCTAGTGTACTTGTATACTCAATAAGCATCATAGATTGTATCTTTACATGGGTGCAATCTTTTCGTTTATCATTTATTTATTTAATCATTCATTTATTCATTATCCATTTATTTACATATATGTAGTTGTCTCTAGCTTAGTTTTTTATTCAGACGTTTCGATCTGTTCTTATCATGAATCCTAGTTGCAACAATCATATCCATTTATTTGTTTGCTCAATCAATTGGTAATGTAGACAAAACATCCAACCAGCTATGACACTTTTGTGAAGATGACCAACATCGTATTTTGCTCTGTCTGTCTATTTATTAATTGATTTATCAGTAGTATATTATTGATTTTACCTACTATCACTCAATGTACAGTCTCTACTGGGCACATATGTATGCACTGACACACCCGGCGAGTTTCTATGGCAACCAGGGACAYTATTACAAGCGGTCCAAGGTGGACACTGGGTTTTGCTAGAAGACATTGACTATGCCCCCATGGATGTTGTGTCTGTCTTGATACCACTTCTAGAGTCCAGGACACTGTCTGTTCCTGGACATGGTAATGCTGTGAAAGCTGCTCCTGGATTCCAACTTTTYGCCACTCAAAGGTAACCAAACTAATGCGACAGAAGGCAATACTTGACCATATTTAATGACATTTAGCTAAAGTAAATAGAAGGGGAATATCACAATTACTATAATTCAGAGTATATAGTACTCAGGGCTCGAAATAACGGTCAGACATATGCAGGTCAAGATGTCCTACCAAATTCATTTTTGGAAGGTCATGTYGAGTTTTGAAAGGATAAAATTTAAAATATTTAATATACTGTTATTTTCTTTTAATTCATAGGTTTTTGTATTCAGAAAGATCGGCAAGCATTTKAATRGCTTGTAAAAGATTTWTTKAGAATTGATTGTTTTTTCATTTGTCTAAAAATGTGGCAGGTCAATTTGTCCTTTCAAAACCYGATTTGGCCGGTCATCTAGCGAATTTGGAAGAACATTGTCCTTTGACCGGCCATTATTTCAAGTCCTGGTACTTGATTTCAAGTACATTTAAATGCTCATTTAGAATGATTAAAGTTTGTATATTTTTGTACAGAACTCACAGTCATAGTGGATCTGCACTTCATGTTCATTCCAACTCTGCCATATTGGACAGGTTATGGACTAGGGTYAATGTGGAACCTTTGAATAAAGAAGAACTTTCTCAGGTCAACTTCTTGATCTACCATACATTCCTTCATTTATTTATTTATCATTCCATTTATTCATTTGTTATTCTCTCATTCATGATTTTTTTCTTTATTGTTTGTTTCAGTTGTTTCAGTTATTCTTGTATTTACATGTATTTGTTTATTATTATTTATTCAACCATATATCATTTTGTTTTATTTCCAATAGGTTATCTCCAAAAAGTTCTCAGATTTGGCTTCTGTTTCTCAMAAACTCATTGATGTGTACAGTTTGGTGTCATCRGACACACAGCTTGTCTCTGATTCAGACATCTCTYTTTCRTCATTATCACATGACAAACGACAAAGTACAACAAGGGACCTTATGAAATGGACTTCTAGAGTTGCTGAATCTCCTGTCAATGGACCTTTTTTTGCTGAAGCAAAAGATGTATTCCTTGAAGCACAGGATTGCTTTGGAGCAACTTTATCTAAAGCTGAACASAGGCTTGAACTTGGGATGGCAATAGGAGCCAAACTAGGAATCACYAAAGAAAAAGTYGAGTTTTTCTGCAAGAACTACAAACCGAAAGTCCAACTTTCTTACCATTCTGTTACAGTTGGACGTGTCTTATTGCCAAGACRTTTTGAAACWGGTCATTCAACAAGASASACWGCTATTAACTTTGCACACACAAGGCACTCTCTTGTTCTTCTTGAGAGAGTTGCAGTGTGTATTAAACAAGAAGAACCAGTGCTGTTAGTAGGAGAAACTGGTWCAGGAAAGACATCCTCAGTRCAGAACCTTGCAGCCATGTGTGGTCACAACTTGAAAGTCATTAACATGAGTCAACAGAGTGACAGCTCTGACTTGCTTGGTGGCTTTAAACCTGTTGAGATGAAGCAACTTGTAGGGCCTGTTAGGGAAACATTTGAAGAACTCTTCTGTCAGACTTTTTCCCGTAAACAAAATGTGAAATATCTTAGTCATATTCAGCAATGCTTTGCTAAAGGGCAGTGGGAAATGTTGTTTAAACTGATGATGCATTCATACAAGGCTGCTATGCATAGAATAGAAAAGGGTGAGTTTGCCTTAAAAAGATCTTAAAATAAGCTAATATCCAGGTATACAGTATCYTCTTGAAGAGAAGCAGAAACTGCCATACAACTTGTGCATGTGTGTAAAATAATTTGTGATATTTTTGTCTTTGTTTGTTTGAACTAAAGTGACGTGTTACTGTATCTTGAATATGTAGSTGACAATGAAATCTCAAGTCAAGGCCTATGCACAAAATGGGAAGCAATATCTCACAAGATTGARCATCTAAAGAAGCAACAGAAGCATGCCGAAAGTACTCTCRCATTTCAGTTTGTTGAAGGAACTCTTGTCAAAGCCATCCGTGATGGAGACTGGATATTGTTAGATGAGATCAACCTTGCAACACCTGAAACTTTAGAGTGTTTGGGCGGCTTGCTGGAGAGCCGTTGTGGTTCTGTAGTACTCTTAGAAAGAGGGTAAGATTTTGATTTAAGTTTTGTTTRTGTATGAGTAAGAAAGAAGCAGCATTTCATGATGTGAAGTGATTGATTTGTATATTCTCATCTTTAATGTTGTACATATTTTTCTTTTTTAGTGATGTTAAACCTATAGTAAGACATCAAGGATTCAGGTTATTTGCTTGCATGAATCCTGCTACAGATGTAGGCAAAAAGGATCTACCACTAGGCATTAGAAACAGGTATGAAAAACTGGTCAGTCAAGACAAAATACTGGTCAAACTTGAAAAACAGGTTGAAACATGCTAAACTGACTGACCTTTATTTGACCCTTTCATTATGAATCTTTTGAAAGTTTATTTTAGCCTCCACTAATTGAGTGCTTTTAGTACCTCATAATCATGTTTTTTTGGCTATTGCAATCAAACATGATTATTATCTTTCAACATCTTGGTGCTCATCTTCTTTGTTGCATTGTAGATTCACAGAAATCTTTGTGGATGAACTCAATGATGTCAATGACTTGAAAACTCTGGTTGTGGACTATCTTCAGGGTTTGTCACCGGCAGCTGCTATTGTTGATGGCATTGTAAGGTAGGAGTTATGGGTAATACGTACAATATGTATCATAGTATTTGTGGTGTCAAATGTTTTTCTCCTGAATAACATCAAAAATTGAATAAGGGACTTGACTAGTGGACTTATAATGTACTGTGAAATGCCAAATGTCTTTGTCAGATTCTACTTAACTGCAAGACTTGAAGCCAATGACAAGCTGACAGATGGAACAGGGCACAAGCCWCATTACAGGTAGAGTGTCAGTAGTGGAGTAATGATGATAATGGATTAGTTTAGCTTTGAATATTAATCAATAATTTACAGATGTTAAAATGGTATATTTCTTCCAGTTTGAGAACACTCTGCAGAGCTCTACGATATGCATCAAGCAATCCACATGGTAATGTGCTGAGATCTATTTATGAAGTAAGTTGAAAATTCTGACAGTACTAATTGATTTTGAATTTGAATGCTGTCAATCATAAAACAGTTGGCACTATTTGAATAATGTGCTTTGATTAACAGGGCTTTTGTCTGAGTTTCCTAACACAGCTTGATCGTTCATCTCATCCTGTGGTTGAATCCCTTATAAGGAAAAATATCCTTGGTCATGTGAATGCTACAAGCCTTATCAACCAGCCWCTACCTTGTCCTGGGAATAACAACAAACAGTTTGTCAACTTTGAAGGCTTTTGGATAAATGTTGGTGAGAAAGAAACTGTTATACCAGCTCATTATGTCCTTACAGCATCAGTGAAGGCAAATCTKAGAGATTTRGCTAGAGTTGTCAGTGGAAGGTATGGTAACTTACTGCTACTTGTTGAATTAAGAATGAATGGGAAAAATGGTAAATGGACGGATGGATGGGAGGTTAGTTAAGAATGATAGGAAAAATGGATGGATGAATAGAAGAATAAATTAATGAATATTTGAATGGATGGGTGGATGGAATGAATTGACTTTCATCCCAAAATTTCACCTACTTCCATATTACACAACAAGGCTCGAAATAATGTCTGGATATACACAGGACATACGTCATGTTATGTTGTTCCAAACCCTTTTTTGGAAGGTCATGAATAATTTTTAAAGATAGACTGGTTAATGTGTCCTTTCAAAACCCAATTTGACAGGACATTTATCAATTTTGGAAAGACATTGTCCTTTGACCTCCCCTTAATTCGAGCCCTGCACAGTAAGATCAATAATCTACAATATGAATGGTGGAAGACTTGTATTGATTATAATATGATAAAATTTAATACACCTAGGACTTTCCCTGTGTTATTACAAGGAGAGACATCAGTTGGTAAGACCAGTCTGATTCAGTGGTTAGCAAATGCATCAGGAAATCACTGTGTACGTATTAACAATCACGAACACACYGACATCCAGGARTACCTAGGCTGTTATACMTCAGATCATGATGGAAGACTGGTCTTCAAAGAAGGTGAGAATTCTCGGGTTGCATGTTACATCATTGTCTCCATGTTGGATGACGATAACAAAGCAATCCTCATTAGTTTCTCTTGTTCAGTCATCCAAGGCGGCGATAGCTTTGTTCTTTATTTCTCGAGGGATTTTTGATCATGTGRTTGCAACCCAAGAATAGAGTTGTAGAATGATTGTGATGACAATGATGACAGCATCATGATGACAATGATAAATAATGGTATCAATCATTAATCATGCATTTTGTTTATTTTTATAGGAGTCCTTGTCGATGCAATGAGAAAGGGTTATTGGATTATACTTGATGAATTAAATCTTGCTCCCACCGATGTTTTAGAGGCTCTCAATAGGGTATGTTTTATTACAAAAAAGTTAAGATAAGGTCGAATAGACGAAACTAGTTTTCTTCAAACATTCTGTTTTCTGTGTGTCAAAGGAGGGGTAAGAGTTGAAATTATTTTGACGTCCTACAATATGAAGTATACAAATTTCAAGAAAGTTAAGAAAATAAACAGTTTTTATTATATTTAATACATCATACTTTTGAAACAGTTGCTTGATGACAACAGGGAGCTGTTTATTGCCGAGACACAAGAAACAGTCAAAGCACACCCAAACTTCATGTTGTTTGCAACTCAGAACCCTCCAGGACAGTATGGAGGAAGAAAGGTAAGATTTATCACCTCATGACAAAGTAATTTACTATTTGAAAATTTCTTTTAAATGTAAGAGTAAAATGCCAAACAAATATAAACAAAATAGAATTTGATGAAATGTTTGTTTGTATCTTTCCATACCAGGTGCTGTCCCGTGCCTTCAGAAATCGTTTTGTTGAACTTCACTTTGATGAATTACCAAGCAAAGAACTAGAGCAAATTCTTCATCTCCGTGGTAACATCCCCATGTCTTATGCCAAGAAAATGGTATCAGTTCTTCTTGACTTACAGGTGGGTTTCCTGTGTAATTGCAAACTACCTTGATTTTCTTTCAGTTATTGCTCATTAGTTTTTCTGATTATGTGCGTATTCTCTATTTGTTTGATAGTCACGTCGTCGTAGCTCAAGTGTCTTTGCTGGCAAACAAGGGTTCATTACCCTGCGTGATTTATTCCGATGGGCAGAGCGCTATAGTAAGACGCCCGATGTACCYGGCAGATTTTACAACTGGGAACAACATTTGGCGGAAGATGGTCAGTAGAAATGGTGTTTTTGTTATCATATATGACATCCACACTGTTAAAATAGCCCACTTGAAAATTTTGCCAGACAAGGCGCCATGGATAAAGACAATAATTTTTCACATTTGACTGAGCTTTACGCACAGAGCCTCATCTTGATTCTTTTGTGTTTGACAACTGGAGCAAAATTCACAAATCGGCTATTGCAATCACAGAAATAAACCATCATCAGAATCAACCATGATCATCAGTCATCATCATCATAACCATTTATTTAGATTAATAATGATTAATAATGATTAACCATCATTTCTAGGATATATGCTGCTGGCAGGTAGATGCAGAAACCCAGCTGAATGCAGCGTTATTCAAGAGGTTTTACAGATTCACTTTAAGAGCAACATTGATCCAGTGAACATGTTCACAAGTACACCAAGGCAGTCCAATCTGCCGTTGTCTTCTAGTAAGATACTAAATCAAGCCACAAGTCATCAGGTTGATGGCTTTGGTCATGTTGTCTGGACAAGAAACATGAAAAGATTGGCTGTTTTAGTKGGAAGAGCTTTAGAGTTTGGTGAACCTGTTCTGCTAGTTGGAGAAACTGGGTATGATAGCATCTAAATGAGTGTTGTTATATTCAATGTTTACTAATATATACTTTTGAATTATCAGTTGTGGCAAAACTACAATTTGTCAACTGTTCGCAGCCCTTAAAGAGCAACAACTRTACTCAGTCAACTGTCACATGCAYTCAGAGTCAWCAGATTTCCTTGGTGGATTACGACCAGTCAGAAGCCATCACTTGGAAGATCAGGTATTGTTTCTTYGTGCTATATKGTTACATTTATCCATGCATGTCATTATAAATATCATTCWTCCATAATTCCATAAATGTTTGTCCTTTTCAATAGGAAGGAAAGCTACAAAAGTTCTTTGAATGGTGTGATGGTCCACTTGTCCTAGCCATGAAAGAAGGAGCCATGTTTCTCATTGATGAAATCTCTCTGGCTGATGATTCTGTGCTTGAAAGACTGAATAGTGTYTTAGAGCCTGAGAGAACGCTTGTKCTGGCTGAGAAGGGTAGTGAAGGAGGAGGTGTAAATGACAAAGATGTTGATATTATTGTTGCTGATGACAAATTCAGGGTTGTGGCAACAATGAATCCTGGTGGAGACTTTGGCAAGAARGAGGTTTGTCACCCAACTTCATGAATGTGTCATTATAAAAAAAGAAATCAGGAATGATCTTMTTGCTATTTCTTCTGTAGCTTTCTCCAGCCTTAAGGAACAGATTCACAGAAATCTGGTGCCCATCCACGAACACTGACCAAGATCTTGTTGAAATCATAGAGTATAATCTAACATCAGGCATTTCGTTCAATACTACTCCTGAAGGTATGAACAATATAATGCAAATCATTGTCAAACATGAACTATTTTTCCTTGCTGCACCTTAAGACCAAACACAACGGTGTTCATGTTCCTTCTAATCTCTGATGTCTTGATATATTTCCAATGTTTGAATTGTGTACAGGTCACTCTGGAATTGGTAAAGCTATGGTAGAGTTCGTCAACTGGTTTCGTTCAACAGATTTTGGGAGGAGGTATATGCATAATTGATTATATAACTAGAACTTACTGTAGAATCATAGTTGCGCTAGAATAGCATATTAAAATATTGCAATTATTATAGCAATTCATATATTTTAAAATGTGCAAAAGTTTAACACAATTTCTTTTWTAGGTTTGTAGTTAGTATTAGAGATTTGTTGTCATGGGTACACTTTATCAACACCTGCTGTCAATCAACTGGTCACATGACATCACATGAGSCTTCCCATCAGCCATCACTTCATCCCACTATTGGCTATCTCCATGGTGTTTGTCTTGTTTTCCTGGATGCYCTTGGAGCTGGATTGTCCAGTCTCCCATCGGCTGGTATRCCACCACAGGAAGCCCGAGAAATATGCTTGGATTTTCTTAGAAGTCAGGTGAAATATCTTGGTGTTGATGATGCAATAAACCTGGACACAAAAGACTTGTCATCTGATGTTACTCAAGATGTTTTTGGAATTAAGCCATTCTATATCCCAAAAGGTAATGTAAAATCTCAATAATCTGTATTTGACTTTTAATAATTATGTGTGATTGGTTATAAGATTTTTTATCCTGTTTCAGGCCCTTTGACAATYCCACATGACTTAAAGGGTACCTATGCTCTAAATGCACCCACAACATCCCAGAATGCACAGCGACTACTGCGTGCACTTCAGCTGTCAAGGCCCATCCTATTGGAAGGGTCACCAGGGGTTGGCAAGACTAGTTTAGTGAA